TCCTCCCAGACTCCCAGGCCTCTGTTCCCACGCAGGGGAGAAGGCCTCATTCTTGCTTCCAGAGTCATTTCTATTTACCTGCCAGCCTTAGGTGTGTTCTGCCTTTCTGGACACACCGCATGCCTCTTACAGTTTTCAGTGATACTTTGCTTTCCTCCGTGAGCCCCACCCTCATAAACCCTGAAATCGAAGTGTCTTTAACAGCACTGGGAACTGACTCATCACCTCCAGTGGCTTTGCTCCTTCAACACCATCCTCCTGGTGCCAATTGAACATACTTGACCTCTAAGCTTCCCAAGTTTTCAATTCCTGCTTCTGGTTCAATGCCCTGTGCTTTGATCCTCCTCACCTGGCATCCACTGAATCTGCTCTTGACAACATTTCTATACAGCCTGGTGCTTCTCAAAGAGTAGGCCCTTGGAATTGCAAGGGAGCGCACCTTGCCTGCCCACACACAATGCTGCCCTCTCCCCAGGAGCACTTAGAGGAGGTCATCTGCCTGTTGACACACACCCGAGGGCACGTAGATCCAGAGGTGTAGCTCCACTCAGAGACCTCCCCAGACCTTTCACCCTCTTTCTGCTTTCCCTCATCTCCCTCTTTCCCTGGGTAAATCACTGTAGCCTACTTGTCCCCAGCACTGCTGGTCTCTATAGCTCACTGTGCTTGTTTTGGTGGATTAGTAGGTCCATTTCAGACAGACAAATAAGGACATTTTAGAATGCTACCAATTTGTAATAAAGTCTGACTCATTATTGATCTTGTCCTTTTTTTTTTTTTTTTTTTTTTTTTTTGGTATCAGGGTTGAACCCAGGGGCCCTTAACCACTCAGCCACATCCCCAATCCTTTTTATTTTTTTTTTTATTTTGAGACAGGGTCCCAAGTTGCTTAGAACCTTGCTAAGTTGCTGAGGTTGGCCTTGAACCTGTGATCTTCCTTCCTCAGTCTCCCAAGGTGCTGAGATTATAGGCGTGTGCCACTGCACCCAGCTCATCTTGTCTTTTACTGGTAGAATATTTTCACTTGACCCACCTATCATTCTCTAATTATATCTCTCTTTTGCTTCTCTCCAGTTTACCACTACTGGCCCCTGGAAAAAACTCTTTAAATTTAAAGGGGTGGGGGGGAAAGGAGTTATAAAACCTCAAGTCTTAAATAAAACAACATCGAAAGACTATAGAATTGCCATCTAATAACTTAGAAATAAATTAACCAAAGCTTTGGTTCACATACAGAGAACAAACCAATCAAATAGCTCAGGCAACATTTATGCTTAAGGCCGTAATTAGACAACAGCTACAATACTGAAAGAAAATGGAATGTTCCAAACTAATCAATTGAGATTAAAAAAAAAAAAAAAAAGATCAACCTATTCTAACAATTAAAGGGCAATGTTTCAGCTGAAAATAATTTAAACAAAATAAATAAAGTCATTTAACATTAATTTATGGAAGTATATGGAAATCATACTAAAATCAGAAACTCTACAAAGGTTTTTGAATCACATGAAAATTAGTTAATGAGACTTAAATTATTTACCAACTAAATAACAATATACAAATTTTAATGTTTTGTCTGTTATTAAATTGTATTGAAAGAGCAGATGCTACAACATACTGATGTAAAAACATCTTCTGCCAAATAATCTTCAGGATTCTACCAATCCAACATTTGTAATATTTGAATCAAAAAATAATAATTTAGTAATATTAAGTGAATGTGAGGATTGATTTTTCTTTTTTAGTGTTACCAAGGGATTCTTTTATCCAAATTCACAAAATAACTAAAGGGTTTGGAGTGAATCATTTTGACTGTAATAGTTCCTGGTTTTACAAAACTGAACTCTAAAAATCCAATTCATAAGAAATTTCATGCGCCTTAGCGGTAGAGGGATTAGTCTAGAAAAACACATCTGGGGCAGGTGCGTTGTCTATTGAAAACTTGCTATGTACCCACTGAGCTGAAACTGACCTGTTTTCCCCATTTCAAAGATGAGGACACTGAGGTTCTACAGGGTGGAATTATCCAAGAGCACACAACTGCAAGGTCATTTTGAACCTGGGTCTTGCTCACTCTTTTTCCTAAGTCTTTTCATCTCAATTGATATGTAGGTTGACTTTTTTTTTTTTCATCTCTTAACATCTTGGTCAAAAAAAAGTGGTGGGGAGGCTTTAATATTATTAGTCATCAAGTCTTTTTGGTAGACAGAAATCATGTCCTGAAATGGAATTTTGCCACATTTTAGGTGCCTTACCATAGTCCTCAGGGGCATTTCCACCCTTCACTCCAGGCTTTCTTGTGGTTTTTCTGGACCTCTTTCTCCTTATGATTTCAAACAATTGTATTTGCCACAAACTCATGAAAATAACATTCCAGGAAATATCTTGAAAACAACAAAAGACTCCAGCAATACTTAGTGGTTATAAAAATGGGGAAATGCAATGGGTGTAAGGAAAAAATGCTGCCTGTTCTAGGAAAGTATAAGTATTTGGATATGACGTGAAATGTTCTCTATAAGATGACCTCCCTATCTGTATTTATGAACAGAGAACTTAGCTACCTAGTTAAGAGACAGTGTGAATAATGAAGACAGAAAGTTACAATCCCCTCAGTGATAAGAGGAGATAACTTAGGATAGCTGAGTTACTACCTAGAAAAGCAAGCTATCAAAGGTCATTGTGTGAAAGATTATTGGTTCTTCCTAATACACAGGATTGAACTGTGTGGCATCTAATACATGTCAATTTCCTGTTGACTGCTGGTCCTTGTTAATTCAGTCTTTGAATAAAGATAATGGCAGTAAGCTAATTTTTTATTCATTTATTCTATCATTCATTTCTACATTTCCAGTTAATCAGTTTTTTGGTTTTTGTGTTTTTTGTTTTTTGTTTTTTTGTTTTTTTGGTAGTAGGGATTGACCCTAGAGGAGGTGCTTTACCAGTGAGCCACATCCCCAGCCCTTTTTATTTTTTATTTTGAAACAGGGTCTTGCTAAGTTGCTGAGGCTGGCTGCCAACTTTCAGTCCTCCTGCCTCAGCCTCCCCAGTCACTGAGATTACAGGTGTATACCATCACACCCAGACAGTCAACATTTTTGCACAATATTATGTATAGGGCACTGCATTGAACATGGAAAAAAAGTAAAACAAAGATGACTTGACCTCTGAGACCCTCATGTCGAAGATGATCAAAATCATCCAAATGAACCTTTCCTTCCCAGGTAGAATTGCCAGCAGCATTGCATAATATGAAATATTAAATGGGGATGCTATAGAACAATGAACTTACTCTATTAATTCAGAAAAGTACAATTTGAAGAAAAGACTGAATTTGTGTATATGTAAAATACAAAACAGTTTAACTCTCCCTGAGAATTCTTCTAATTTGTTAAATATTTTGGAAATCTTAATTCTATTTAACAGGCTTGTGTTCTTTAATACCATAGCCATTAGCCTCATGTGGCCATTGAGTACTTATTATGTATCTGGTCCAAACTGAGAACACAACTGTGCTGTGTGTATTAAACACACAGATTTCTAAGACTCGGTACAAAAACAGTATGTAAAATATTTCAATAACTTTAAACTAACTATATGTTGAGATTCTAATATTTTGGATATATTCATGAAAACTGAATCAGTAAAATATATAAGATTAATATTTAAGATGATTACAAGAAAATTTTAAATATATGGTTTGCATTATATCTCTGCTGGACAGCACTGCTATAAATAATATAAAGGAAAGCTTCCAAGGCTTTAGGAGATTCTAATTATCCATGGAAGACAAAAATAAAATGATCTGAAAACCCTGTTCTCCAAATTAGAGCAAAATGAAGTGTGGATATGTGCAAAGGGCCCACATGGGATTGAGGAATATGCAGTAAATACAGGGTAGTTGCAAATAGCTGCAAGCCCTCAGGGATCCATGAGTTTTTCACTCATTGTTGACTATAGAGTTGGCCCACAACACAGGAGAGTGGTAGGGACTCCAAGAGAATATATATGGCACATGTATGGAAAACCTAGAACCTATAAGAATAGAGGATCAAAGAAAAGGTCAGGAGTGGAAAGAACGCAGGGCTCTGAGAATCCAGTGAAAATGTGAGCATGGGACTCAGGGTACAACTCTGTGATAGAGTACCTGCCTGGTATGCAAGAGGCCCTGGATTCCATCCTCAGCACTGTATTCAAAGAAAAGAAAAAATGAACATGCATCACCTCACCATGATTTAGACATGTCTCCAGGAATTCCTGTGTTGAAAACTTAATCCCCAATGTCATATATTAATAGTATCGGGAGGTAATCAGAGTTAGATGAGGTCAGGAGGGTAGGGCTCCCATGATGGGGAGCAGCTTTATAAGAAGAGAGACCTATGCTAGCTAGCAAGCTTGCTCTGACTCACCATGTGATGCCCTCTGTCATGTTGAGATGCAAGAAAGGGCCCTCAGCACAACCTGGCGCCTGGATACTGGACTTCCCAGCTTCCAGTGCCATTAGCTAAAGAAACTTCCATGCTTTATCAATTACCCAGACTATGGGATTCAGTTATAGCAACAGAAGACAATTAAGACAAACCCATTGGACCAGAAAGGCTCTCCTCCCAGACCCTCCTGGGAGTACCAAGCCTAATCTGAGAGGTGCCCTCGCTCCTTTGACCCAAGCAGAGCGCCAGTTCTGAAGGTCAGCCAGGATTCAAAGTTAACATGATGCTCTCGTTACAGTTGAGTTGAATGGCTTTGAGATGTCATTCCTCTTGGGTACTTTGGCTTCTCTATTTTATCCCTTTCAGCTTTTCCTTTATTTCACTGTCTCTGTGTCTGAAATTCTCTTTCAGCTCAACCACATGGACTCCCCGGGACACCTTCCCTGCCTCCGCCATCGTCCATCATTGGTAGGTCACATTCTCCAGTCACATCTTAAGTGGCTTAGTTCAACTCAAAAAATTTTAATTAAAAAATAAGTAGCTAGTAATCAGACACATGATTACAAAAAAAGATAAAGTTGCAGGCACATTTATTACAATACTTCATCAAAGAGCAGAGCTACTTCTTTGAACACTCAAGGAAATGAATGTAAATGTTGTAGCAAGAAAATTGTTTTAAACAACATTCATTATTTAACATTAGAAAGAAACTAGTTTAACAAATAGAATGGTCAAATAACTTGTAGTATAGTCATATAGTAGAAATCTCTACAACTATTAAAATCATACATTTGAAGACCAATGATAAAAGTCACACAATAAAAATTAATAAAAGTACATAACTATATGTGATATGATCTGACTATATAACATAAAATACATAGGAAAGGTTAATAGTGGCTAGCTCTGGGTTGTGACATTATAGGTAATTTTTATTTTTCTTCTCATATAGTCTCTGTATTTAATTTTTTTTTACAACTAACATATATTACTCTTATAATCTGAAAAATATATACATAAAATAAACTATTGATTCTCTAGTGTCCGATTTTAATAAAGTGTCCAATTTTATAAAGAATCCCACCAAAAGCTTATCTTTCATGGAAAAATTATACCACCTCTCAAGATGATATATAATACAGTACAGTATTTTATTATATACTATGACCCTGTGTCAGCAAGGTTAGTTATGCCTGTTATAACTGCTTTATGTCACCTGATACAATATTGACTATCTATAAAACAACTCCGGTGTAAGAAAGAGACATGCCCATCTAAAAATCAGCAAGACTTATTTAAAGGGTGTTAAAGAAGAAGACCTAATTAGTCCTTTCTACAGGAATCAGTAGCATGTTTCAGTAGAAAAGTTCAAAGCAAAACTAGTTCAAAGCTACTTCCACAGATGCAAAAACAAAAAAATCCAGTGTTATCAGACCTGATTGCTTTTGAACATATTAAGAAATTTTAAATGTATTAAGAATTGGTTTGTTTTGTTTTGTTTTCAAAAAATTCACAGCACATTCTGAAGAACAGAAAGTGGAGTCAGTCTTCACAGAATGAGTTTCGGTTTCATCCTTATTCTCTCAAGAAAAATCATTTCGTTCATTCCAAGGTCTGCTCAAAAACAAAAGGATGTAAAATCAATTAATCATGTTGCTCATAATAAGCATGTTTTTGTCCACCTAGAGCCACTGCAGGAGATTGCATTTCACAATTGCTTTCTGCTTCCCCAAGAACCCAGCATCTCATGATTCATCTTTATGTTTTTGCAAACATTTATCAAAAGTCTCCTAGGTGTGGGCCCTCAACAAGGCACCAGTGAAACAAAACCCTCAAGGACCAGGGGCTCAGAGAGTGCCTCTAAAAATTCACATGAAATATAAATTTCCATAATCTGATAAATATATCATTAATCAAATACATAAATTGATATTAGCAGCATTGGATAAAACACTACTTTTAAAAGGGAATAATAGGGCCCCTTTGCCATCTCTCCAGTATGTATTCTACTACCTTCTTTATAGGAAACTTGGTGAGTTAGAGGCTTGGCCATTAGGTATTATCATGGTAGTTGGAGAGACCTGGGACTTAACTTTTTTAATCTAATGCTTGCAGTTGTCCCTTCAAGAAAACCATAAAATTTAATGGGCACAGATAAAAATATTCCTAATCTTGTCATTCAAGATTTTTCTGTACAAAGATTTCTCTGCTGTGATTACCATTTTTCATGCTTCCCATACAGTGTTAAGGAAATTATGGTTCCTATCAGTCTCTTAATTGCCCCCCAAAAAGAACAAATTCAGACATTCTTTTTCTTATTCGTTATTTTACAGTCACCTGTGCCCATTTTAGAACCTCTATCATAAGCCACAGAAACGTTTCCTAAAAGCCAAATGAATGAAATTTCACAACATTGAGAGGTACAAACGGTTAACAGTTCTTGTGTGTGCATAATTATTTCAAGACAAATGAACAGGAAAAGCCTAGCTCAGACTATTTGTAACTTCTTCTGCCTTTCTTAGAGTAGTAAAAAATAAGGGAAAGAGAGATAATAAAAGCAAAAAGCAAAAAAGCGATGAAAGCCAGTAAAGACTTCCGTGTGTGAAAAAAACTGCATTCAGTACACATGGTGTATTCTTCCGGGCAGAACCTTTCCAGTGTTTCGGGACCCAGGAAACCATTGTTGTCGATAATTTTCCTGTAATGCTTCATGGACGGTTTGGGCTCAAACTGATTTGCTGCATATCGATAGAGGCCAAACTTCGGAGCCGAGCGATCGTTAAATGAATAAGCAAAGTATCCACAAAGATTGATACCATCCAACACGTAGGCTGGAAAAACACAAGGACAGGAGGAATCATTAAAAGATTTTGCACACAGGACATCCCTTTGACATGGTATTGGTCCACCAGGGAAAATAGCATTTAATAAAACTTTGGAATCCATTAGATTTAATTAGAAAAATCTTTTTATAAGGAGACAAATAGGTAAATATCAAGACACATATTGAACTACAGTGAACAGTAGTTTGATGTAATTAAATCTACTATGATGCATTTGGCTTAAATTTTACATTCATCAGCACTTCAGATGTTTGTGGGACCATGTGTGATTGAAGATGAGAAAGTCTATCCCCTAGTAGAGCTAGGGGTTTCTGTCTGGTCTTCCACTTTTCCCTAAACTCTTACTCCCAGAGAAAATACCATTTCTTGGATTGTTTCAGTGTAACCAGGAACAGCCAGGTCCTTTGTTGGGGCAGTGTGTGTTTCTGTTGGAGAGTGTCTATCAGCTACCCTTTGGCGACCTTTCTGTTTCAGGGGCTCCTTACCTTTCAGAGCTTCATTTACATAATTCTGTATGTAATACATCCTCAACTTGTCTTGTTCGGCCTGGGGATCATCATCAATGCCATTAGCCATTATATACATGGGGAGATCTCCGTACTTGAACTTCAGCCAGTTCAGCACTTTGCGCAAACCCCAGGGCACCACGGCCACCTGGCTGGGGGAGTTGAGCCAGGTGATGTCAGTCATTTCTTGCACCTCAAGGTAATCGTTGTATTTTAGGGGATCTTCTTTCTCCCAGTCTACAAGTATAGTGGTGTAATGGCTGAAAGCCAGAAAGTCAAAGGAACCCTGGATCAGCTTTTTTTCCTCTTCGGTGAAATAAGGTAGAAGAAAATTGTTCCTTTGGTTCAGCCATTCCCTCATCGCGCGTGGGTAATCTCCAGAGCCGAAAATGGGTTCGGCCAGCCAGCCAATGTCAAATTCCAAAACTCTCTCGGCCACTTCTTTGTCCTTTGGGGACAGAGGGCACGCGGGTTCTATCCAATCCGCCTGCAAGGCTATGGATATTTTGCCCTTTTGAGCAGGTCTGAACTTTTCATCATACACGTGCCAAGCCAACGCATGGGCCTTCAGAAGGTGATGCCCCGCCCGGTACGTCATATTGCGCGTGTCGGGCTCATTCATCGTGATCCAAAACTTGACGTGGTGACCGAGCTCTTGAAAGCACAGTCTGGCATACTCTGCAAAAGCCAGGGTGGTGCGGGGGTTCTCCCAGGCGCCCTGCTTGGCCAGCGGACGCGGCAGGCCTTGGTGGGGGGCCGCGGGGTGCCACAGGGACACCACCGGCGTGATGTTGGCGCGGACCAGTTCACTGACCACGCAGCGATAGAAGTGCAGGACCGTGTGGTTCACATGGGACTGGTTGCCCAGAGGGAGGATCAGGGCCCAGTCCAGAGAGAAGTGAAAATGCGTAACGTGCATTTCCTGGAGTAAGGCGATCTGGGGCCGGATGGCAGCAAAATCTACGCAGTAGGATTTCCTCTTCTTGGCCATCACTCCGTCCACTTTAATAAGCCTCTTACTGTGATGGACATCCCACAGGTAGACATTGGGGTCAGTAAACTGAGAGAGAGTGGTGTCCACCTACAAAAAATAGAGTAAAGGTTTGCTTCACCTGGAAAATCCTGTAAGGTCCATGCAAGTATTTCAACAGAATTAGCAAGTAAGATGAGCAAAATTAAACTCCTTTCTAGCTGGGAATTTAAACCACTTTTTGTAAACTGTAGTTTCTTGAGGAAGAAAATATTCCACTTTTTTAAAAAATATTTTTTTAGTTGTCAATGGAACCTTATTTTATTTATTTATTTGCAGTGCTGAGAACCGAACCCAGTGCCTCACACATGCTAGGCAAGCGCTCTGCCACTGAGCCTCAACCCCAGCAAAGATTCCACTTAAAAAAAAAAAGTACATTTACATTACTCACAGTTCTTGCTATACTTTACACTTAAGATTAGTGTTTTTTAACAACTATCTGATTTTAGTCACTTCAGTTGACAAAAACAAATAACTTTTGCAGGCAGGCAGTCTGTGTTGTGCAAGAAATCACTAATGGCATGAGGTATTCAAATTTAAAAATAAATAGGCAAAATGTAAAAGCTTAAAATCTGCATGAGTTAAAGCTAGAAAATGAAATCATATTTATAATTAAGTTGTGCTTCTTAAAATTATGTTCTACATTTAGGTTTGCCTTGGGGTGCTAAATAAGCATAAGTGTTGTCTTTCATGGGGTTTATGGTCAGTGATAGAATTTAACAAATTCAATCTATTGGTATAAAGCCTGAGAGAGAATGTGGAAATAAGGAACAATAATGTTATCCACCCAGAGAGGGATTTCTTTTAAATGAAGTTTTTCTTTAGTTTTCTAAAATATTTTTTTCTGTAATAATATTAATTATAGGGTTCTCAAACATATGACATTAAGCTTCCAAAATAGAAACAGGTGCTTAGGAAAAGTGGACAAATTGTGAAAGCAAAAAAAAAATCATGAAATCCTCCCTCCACAGCTTACACAAAAACTGAAAAGTCCATCTGGGAGACCTGCAACCTAAGCCAGTTTCTCCTCTGAAATAATCCTTTTAGAACAGGTGTCTTGGCCTGACCCTGCCATAAAAGCAAAGATCAGATAAACCCTGGTTTTGAAGCTCTAGCAGAGGTGTTGTGAATTTTACAGTCCTGTCATAAACGCACAATTCGTTGCTGGTTCTCTGGAGGGGTGAGTGCTGTGTTTGTAAGGGAAAGTAATAAAAAGCAGGGTGTCAGAGGAAATTGATTTTCTGGAGAATTGTCCCTTGTGGATCACCCACGCATGCACTTCCCCTAGTGCTGTGGGAATGCTGTAAGAAGTCATTTTCCACATCCATATACCCACAAATTGTGTTTCCTTAGCTTCACAAGAGAAAATATTTGCATGCTATTTTGAAGAAAAAGTGTTCAGAACTTGAAGGAATTTTTTGCATTATTTTTATAGAGCTTTGAGATGACTACATTCATAACTTTTCTGCCAGAATCATCCAAAGCAACAGCTTTGATTCTCTCCATCTGAAAACAAACATGAAAGACCAAGATATGATTATTTTGCATGGGTTGGGGGTTGGGATCATATTTTTAAAATATGCAGCATTTAGAAATGAATATTTAGGTAAAATTTCATCTAACTGCTGTTAATTTGTTGACTTTGTTTTTGCTTAAAAATGAAATAATAAAATTAGACCTTTGAGAAGGAATTGGTATAAAGTATGTATCTAGTATGTTATGGAAGAAAATCTCTCTTAACAGGGACTAAAGTCAAAAAAGCTCCATGTCCTCAGTATGTAGCACATTCTTTACTTCTGTTACCTAGGAGCATTTGTGGTTATGGGAAAACAAGTCTGCCAGCTAGAAGTTGGGTCCAAGTAAAATGACAATGCCTATGAATTAACCAACATCAGACTTCAGACAGGTCATGGTCAATAGGATATTATTTTTCAACTTATTAAAGTGAAACACAAGCCCCAAATATTAAGTGTTTGAAACACTACCCAGGAAGGGAAAGATGAATTTGGATGGTTTAGACATCAACTTCTCAGGACATCAACGTGTTAAGTTAGAACACTGCTTGTCAATGAAAATGCTCTCACACCTTGGAACAGATGGGTCAGAGGACCTCCTTTTACTATGCCAATCAGGCATTAGCCTGGAGTTGCTAATATGAGGCCAAGCCCAAACTGCAAACCAGAAAGAAGAAAATGCAGTTGCAGCCTGTTCCCACAGAGAGCTTTCAGGGAGTTCGCATCCACCATGGCTTTGAAAGTCAATTATGGGTTTGTTGGGTTCTGCATAGGAAGCAGGGACCTAGCTAAAAGTGCATCCTCAGAGAGGTTGAGACCAGTGAGTGGCTCACCCAGGATTAACCCATTTTGATCCATCATCCTAGGTGTAGAACATCTATAAAAACTTATATTATGTGATATATAATACTTATAATAAATATTAATATTATATACATATATAAAATATGTCATATATATGGGCTCCAGGTTATGGTTTCCAAACTATTTTTTTTTTAGTACCAGGGATTGAACCTAGGGGGCGCTTAACTATTGAGCCACATCCCCAGCCCATTTGGTATTTTATTTAGACACAGGGTCTCCCTAAATTGTTGATGCTGGTTTTGAACTTGCAATCCTCCTTCCTCAGCCTCCCAAGCTGCTGGGATTACAGGCATGTGCCATGGCACCCAGTGGTTTCCAACCTATTTCAACCTATTTTAATGTACCTGTGTCGATTTCTTTGAAATATTCACAGAATTGAAAACTTGGGACTTAGTAAGATTAAGATTCTATAAAAAGGGACTTCTCTCCCCATTTTCCTATTTGCTGCCATACTTTTTTGCTTCTGATCAGAGTTTCTCTTCTCTCTCAAGGAAATAAGATGCAGGTTTTGCATGAAAATAGGGAAGGAGTAAAATGGTTCTCAACAGCCTCCACTTCCCTACATTCCCACCGCTTGCACAGAGATGCTGGCTATGAGACTTCTCCACACTCAAAGGACCAATTGGGAGTTACCTGCCAGACTTGGGCTGCTATCAGAAATCAGGGAGAACATGAGCCCTTCAGTGTCAGTGCTCAATGCCTTCAGAGAGTGAGAAGTCAAGATACAGAATAAAGACCAAGCACCATCTAATTCACCCCATCCCCAATAAAGGGCAGGAGGAAGGAGGGACTGAGGGACCTATCTTCTTCCCTTTCTCTGTCCCTGTCTCTCCTCCTTCCTTATCAGCCCCAACTCTGCCACTTCAGAGACTGCTTGAGCTCCATTTTGTGTCCCACATGGAGGAGAGAAAGAAGGGAAGAAGGGAGACAAACAAGAAGGAAAGCCCACACTAAGCAAGATGAAGCTAAGAAGCCTTCTTCCTATTGCACTTGGACATCCTTACCATCACTATGACAGGTACCTGGGATAATCAACTTATGGGGAGGAAACATTTCCTTTTGGCTCACAGTTTTGGTGGTTATAGTCCTTGATTAATTGACAGCTTTGCTTTTAGGTCGTGGTGGGGAGCATATGGTAAAGCCAACTGCTTACCTCATGGTCAGGATACAAAAAAGAGAAAGAGGAAAGGGCTGGAGACCTACTATTCTCCTCCAGGGCACATCCCCAATTACCTAAAGGCCTCCTACCAGGCCCCACCTCTTAAACATTTCCCCACCTCCCGGTAGTGCCAAGTTGGAAACCAAGCCTTTAACCCATGGGCCTTTGGGGACATTCCAACTCCACACTAAAGCACAAAACCAACATTCCTCAGTAAATGTGAAGAAAGGATTTGAGTCTGAGACCACGTCTAAACCAAACTACATGTTCTGAAAAAAAAAAAGTAAGAAAAATCTAAACCAACAAAAAACATATGAAGTTAGTGTTGATTTATTTACTTAAAAATATTTCAATTTAATATTTACAAGGAAACAACAATCCATTGCAACTAGAACACCTTTCCTCAGATCCAAGCATTCTTCCAAATATTTCTTTTGAAGCTGTAGCAGCTACAAAGTGAGTGGAAGAATCCAACATCCTAAATCTCATTGCTTAACAATGGAGACTGAACTGTGTCTCTGTCTTGATCAGTTTTCATTCTCAGACTATGTGGCAGTACCCCACCATCTCACCCTGCTCACTTACCCTCAAGTTCTGTTCACTCCTTTACCTTGTTTGTGTACCCATCTCTTATTCTCAATAGTCTCCTTTACTCCTTGAAAGCAGGGTGGTGATGTTACTCATTTCAGTGAGTAAACTGACAATCCCCCCTAATCAAGTGACCCCATCACCACACAAGGCTCTGTACACACTAGGCATCTAATAAGTACTTAATGAAGGATTCAATCAAACCCAAGAAAATAAGCCCCTTTAAAATTAGGGTAATTAAAAAAGAACACTGAGATTAACTAACTACATAGTAGATATTCAATAAATATTGATTGATCATTTTAAAGCATTTCCATATCATTTCAGTGACTGTATCTAAAAAAGGCTGGATGTGTAACCGATGTGATTCTGCAATCTGTATACAGAGTAAAAATGGGAGTTCATAACCCACTTGAATCAAAGTGTGAAATATGATATATCAAGAACTATGTAATGTTTTGAACAACCAACAATAAAAATTTTTTAAAAATTTAAAAAAATAAATAAAATTGACTTTCATAAGTGTAAAAAAAAGGCATTTCTATCAGTGAGTCATTGGAGAAGGGTTTGCATTCATGAGGGGTCTCTGCAAGTCTGGGGGTGAGGGTGGTCCATGTTTATGCCTCAGGAGAGCTGTACCCTCATTCTCAGCTGGTCCACTGAGATCTCAGAGGCTCTGGAGTTCCATGTCATATCTTATTTATGAAAAAGCTCAACTGTTTTAAAAAGGATTAGAACCCCATAATACTAAAAGACAGTGTTTTTTTCTTTTCATTGTCTTATCAAATCTTAAATACTCATGTGTTTAAATTCTTTTCCTTTGGATCTAATTTAAAGAATAAGATGAAGATTGGAAGATCTTTGGGGAGAAGAGTGCAGCATTTCAAATGGTGATCTTCAGGTGCTCTCTGGGAACTGTTTGGCTCCAAGAGCAGAGAGTGTGCCATGACAAGAGCCTGAGAAGGAAGCACTACTTACTAGTGACAGGGCTTGGTGAGACTGCTGATTGGTTTTGTCAGCTGACTTACTTGAACGTAGTTGTCAACAACTCCCCAAGCAAAGTCACAGGGAAATGTCCCTTCTAGGGGTTGATTTTCAGGTAAAGGAGGGAAGCCATTTTTCTCTATCAGCTTTTGGTAGAACAAGGCTGAAGACTTCGGCAACAGCTTCTTATCCTGGCTCAGAAAGTCGACATAGAAGAGTCCACGTCTGATGCTGTAGCCTCTGTGCCACTCGAAACCATCCATGAGGGACCACGCCGTGTACCCGATGACATTGACCCCATCCAGCCTGATGGCTGCAAAAGGCAGAGAGGACAAGAGCAGCATGACCCTTCCCTGGGCACTCACCTTATGATTCGAGAGAATCTGAGGGTTTCACCACTTAAGGAAACGCCAAGTAGAATGCTCCCAGTTTGGCAAACCAATGATTTTTTTCTTATTGACAAAAGGTTCTCATTTATTCTAGATAACTCTACAAATAAGTGGCTTCACAAATAGGCTTATCTCCAATGTGTTTTTATTTGGATTTCTGAGACAGGATAGTTTCTTACTCCCAGTGGGTGCACTACAGGGCTAATATCTGTTTTCTGCCTAAGCACCTAGTATTGAACCTCAGATCATAAATGAAAAAGGTCTTTAAACTCATGAACTACTACTTTTTCCAGATAATATGTATACACCCTTTTTTTAAAAAAAAAGTGTTTAATCAGTCAAAGTAATAAAAACTCAAGAACACGCACAGAGAGCTACATGTCCTAAGATTTCTATTATACTTAAAGTCTTAATTAATAACTGCAAATCAAGTAATTTCAAATATTAACCCAGTTTCTCCCTTATGAGAGAAGATAAAAATTAAGTTCTTCAAGGCTTCAAACAAAAAAGGCACTACCTAAATGCATTTCTACTATTGCCAAAATGAATTCCTACATTATGATTAAAAATAGAACACAGCATATTGCAGATAATCTTAAGGATTGTTTCCCCCATGGATTTTGACAAGAAATGAATATTTTTACCCCAAATCCTACCTTTTAAGGTTTCCATGATGAACTTTTTGAGGTAATACATGTATTTGGCATCATCTCTCTTGGTGGTCCCTGAGACAAACCAGCCATTTTCCACAATAAATATTTGAGGGTGGTTATATTCGAGGTCAATCCAAGAAAGGAGTTGTCTCAGGTTGGGAGATTCTAATTGGTGGAACTTCATGTGCGGGTCCAATAGTTGAAAACTCAAGGTTGGTCCAAAGGAAAGAGCAAAAAAGTCAGCGGTTCCCTTGACGAGCCTTTTCTCAGATTCGGTAAAATCAGGCAGAAGAGATGAAAGGTTATTCTTCATGCTCTCAGGATAGTCACCATCAATAAATATGGGTTTGGCAAACCAGCCTAGTACGAAGTCAAGGGATTTTTGACATTCTTTGATGTTATGGTCTGTCATTCTTCGAGGATTGATCCAGTGAGAGCTGAGGGCGATGGACACTTGGCCTCCCTGAGTTGGACGGAAAGAAGTGTTGTAGAGATGCCAGATTTTGGCATGAGCCTATGAAGAGAAAAATCATGGTGAATTTCTCTGATGGTGAGAGATGCAGGACATAGTCATTTCCCCAATTCTAGTTGTATCTGTTTCTCATCAAGCCTAACCTAATGACTAACCCCTCACTATAAAAATTAGCTAGAACCAGGGCTGGGGTTTGGCTCAGTGGTAGAGCACTTGCCTAGCATGTGTGAGGCACTGGGTTCGATTCTCAGCACCATGTAAAAATAAATAAATAAGGGGATTATATCCATCCACAACCAAAAAATATTTTTTAAAAAATTAGCTGGAACCAATAAATTACTTCAGAGGTAGCTCACCCCACCATGAGCTGCTACCATGATTAAAGTTATTTCCATTGTTTTTCAGCAGCCAGTGGAAATTTATTATGAAATTTATTATGAATTTATTAGGGTAAGTTGGTAGTTATTATTCATATTTTGAAAAGCTAATGAAATAAGAATTTGTTATACTGTCTTACTACTTACTTGACTTTGGATTATGGACTTTTTAATTAATGGGTTCCATGAAAAGAACCAATGTCGCATCTGTGATCACACTAGGAATTTCTAAATAGGATTATATACTTTATCCTAAGAGACTGGGAGTTTCCAAACTGACTCAAGTTGTTGGAGTCAATTTAATATTTCTTACTCATCTCCCATAGCTAAATTCCAATGTGTGTCCTCAGAATCTTTGTTCTTCCCTATGAATCAGCATAATATATTAAAAGACAATCCAAATTCTAATCTTGGCCCACCCTCCACAACTCTGGGACAGTGCTGGCTTCCTGCAGATCCAGGGTACAAGGTATAAGCCAAGAGGAAAAATACAGCTAAATACAACTGGCAGGAGATGGGCACTCTACCGTTAAGTCAGCTCTCAGTAACTGTTTCCTACCAGTGAAAGGGCTTTGCTTCCATGAAACCAACTTTATATTCCCATTAAATCTTGCTGACTTCTGATATCTTTTCATTTGTTTTCTTTTATTTACAAATATTGAGACTTAAATGGTATTTTTCCCTTTCTACTTGAAGTTTCGCTTCACCTTTGAATTCCTTGACTTACTCCCACTGTTTTCCTACAAATATAAATACTATTAGCCTTTTATTCCCCTAACATATATTCTTTGAAAACTCTATTTTAATTCTCCATTTAATTCTGTATATTCTACAACATGATCATGCCAATTTTCATTCCAATTCCTGAGCCGGAAGAAGATCTGTTGCTCAGTATGCCAAATATCCTCTTCATTTTTCTTAAATATTCTTCTCCTGGTTCATTTCAGGGCAGGAATCCAAAAATGGCCTCATCACCATTCTTAGGAGCTCAGCTAACCATTTCAATGAAATAAGATTGTTTATGTCTGATTTTTATTTTTAGTTTCTTAGTGACATCTGTTATTTCATTTCACTGAGTGTATTCTTTCCATATAGCAGCTATCTATAAGCTAAGAAAGAAATAGAGGATAAAATGTGAATGGAGCAACAGTGATTTTTGTCTGTTAGCTCTATGATTTCACCTGCCCTTCTTTATTTTCCTTGCCACCATCAAACTATCCCTCTCTATTGACAGGAAACCATGAAGTCACTTGATAAGTAAATAGAAAAACAGGGGAATAGTCAAACTGGTACTCAGGAATCCACCCTTTGGGACCTAGGACCAAGGGACATTCCTAATTTGGCCCAATTTGAGGCCAATGAACTGTCATGTCCTAAATTCTAACAGGCAGTCATCTTCAGAGCAAGCACTGAATAGGTAGGAACTTCACAGTCTGGCTCAGTTGTACAGGTAGCTGGAATCATGCAACAGAATTGTTCATGATAACAGACCACACTTCTAACCTGGAAGACTTTGACATGGATCAGAGGAAATGTGGATGAAATGATAAATGACCTGGGCTACTGACAAAGGCACAGGTGATCGCCGGTGTCAGTTAAAGTTCCTGCTCCATCACGTTTTAGTTATGTGCCTTTGACCACATTATTTAACCTGGACAGGGAAGCCCAGCTTTCTGTGCCTCTCATTGAATGTTTCAAGCATCAAATTAGATAATTTATGTAAAGCTCCTGACACAGAGATTCTATAGTAAAGTCTCCATGAATGTTTATTTCATGAACATTGTTGGAAAAGGAAACCCCACCTGCTCTGCAATCCAGACCATAACAGTGATATGATGCAGTGATAAAATGTGGAGTTTAGATCACAACGCCTTTATCTGTTACCAAAGTGAACCTCTGTTGCTTATCCTATCTTAGAGGTAGCTTACTGCACTGCACGGAGAGTTGCTTGCATGACTGAAGTTGTCTCCATTGTTTTTTCATCAACCAGTAGAAATGCAAATACCATCTATTTTCCCATAAGGATTATGAGGATTAATTGATCTGATGCAAGTCAAAGTGCCTATTAAGTGGTTGATTATTTTAGAGGATACATTTACAGCATAGAAAACATCTTAGGTACTATTTGGCTTAACCCTACTCCAAATCTCTATTGCATCTATTGTCTGTCTGTTCTCTAGAGCCGCCCAGCTAGGTGGTCCTTCTGTGCCTGGCAGCTTCTCCAGGAAATCCCAACCCCATCCGACCTGCCACACTGAACTGAACATCCAAGTCTCCAACATGCTGTGCTCCCATCATTTAATGAAGGTAATGATGCATCCTTCTCCAGACTGAGCTTCCTGAGGAATCCCTCATGGCCTCCCTGGCCTTTAGAGGCCTGAGTCTGTTAAACAGAATTAACTCTGCTCCATCACCTCCTCATGAGGTTGTTCATTCCATCTACAGATGGTAGGTTTGAGAAAATCAGATGCAGTACTGAGGCAGAATATGGGAAAAGTCATCACTAAGGATCTTGCAACAATCAAGGATGATTCATAGGAAAAAGGTCATGCACCGTCTTCCATTGCTTTCTAATTTTTCCAGGTATGTTCATTTTATAAGCCTGTCATCTTAAGATTGAGACTCAATAAAGCTAGTGACGAGGACTCAGAGAAATAATTAACTGTATGGGCAAGAAAGAATGCTCATCTACAACCTATTTCTAAATAGCAAAACATTGAAAACAATTGAAGTGTCCAATATTCAAATATGTTTACAACCATATAAACATATAGGAATGTTTTAATACATGATGGTATAACTGAAAAAATAAGACATGCTTTTAAAACATTACAAATCTTTCAAAAGAATATCTATAAACAGGTAACAATGTTTCTAAAATCATAACTGAACCAAAAACAAATTATAAAATAGTAAGTAACGTGCAATGTTTTTTTTTATTAAAGAAAAATATATACATAAAGATCTGGAAGGATTTACAACTTCTTAAAAGTTTTGTTGCAAGATTGTGGGTGGTATAATTCTCTTCACTTTTTCATTTCCTACTATAAATATGTATTGCTTTAGAGATTTGAAAAAATTAAAATTCAAAAAGGAAAATGGTTCATAGCAATTGGATGGCAGGCTCTCCTGGTATAACTAACCCCTACCAACCTGTTCTCTACGTTTCCCTATAGTTTCTGCCTCAAATCCCAAATCCCAAGCACAATGAGCCCTGCTTGAGGTTCTGAGATCCCTAGGTGCCCACATTTTTATAAGTAAAGCTCTCTAAAGTATTTTTTTTAGCTATTCCAGGTCCTTTGACACTACCTCCACTTCAAAACTCTGCCCCCCATCACCACTTCCATAAAGCCTCCCTTACATCTTCCCTCTCTCTAATCTTGCTTAGCTACAAGTCCATCCTATCTGTTTCCACAGCTAAACTCAATCCAAGACGTTAACCATATTTTATTGCATTTATTTAAGTATCTGGATTGCGGGTGCTTCAAACGCTTTTTATCTCTCTCTCCTTAGATTCCAGCAAAGTATCTGCAATAGACTCAGTAATAAATAGATATGGAGGAAGGAAGGCTGGCAGGAAACCCGATCAAAGGGTCTGAGACAGATGCAAATGACTTTCTGGACCAATGAAGGGAAACACTCTCATAAGATACTCTGGTTCTATTTTATTTCTAAGACCTTGGAAGACAGAGAATTTTTATGTGCATAAAATTAAAAATAATAATTAGAAGGAATTTGACAAGGTAGTCTCTAAGAGTGATACTATATTGTCTTACCATGTACAAATGATCCAATTTGGGATGAAAATCATTCTGGCATGTGATACTCTCCTCACTTCCTTCTTAGCCTCGGTTTAGACTTGAAATATAAGGTCTAAAAAATGTAGGAAAAAATGGATCTGGTATTCCTTCCTACCAATCAGTTAGTATTCCCAAATTTTGGAAGTCAAGGATAATACTCCAAATGTTATAGCACAGACAGACATTTCCTCTTGGGATAAATTGTAAGCTCCTTATCATTTACCTATGTGTATCCTTCACAGTGTCCAACACAAAATATGGTGATGAAAGGAACCTTAAGTGGTGAGACTCGTGTCTACTCCAGCCTCCTGCCTTGGGTCATGTTCTAGACATGGGCAAGGGAGATACAGGCCACCAAAAGGTGACAGTCTCACTGAGCTAAGAAGGCATAAGTCAGAGGCAAGGACTGCTAAAGCAGGTCAACCTCTTGAAGAGAAGGAAGTGCCGCAAGCTTCTCTTTCCCTGGCTGACTTCTGGTTTTTTGAGGGTCCATGCCTGCATCTGCACAGAACAGAATTCTTTGGTACTTAGCAAAGAGAAACTATCACATCTTGGATCTGAACACCAAAGGCTGTGCCAGGCTGGGAAACATGATAATCCAGAGGAGCCACAGTAGAGAAATTCATCCCAGCACTTCAGACATTCAATGGAAGAGTCACACCACAGGAATAAGGAAACAGCAGAAGTAGACCAGCCCTGACGAAGATTAAACCCAAGCCAGGCAGGACCAAGAAAATCCTCTGGCAATTTCAACCGCTTAGCAGAATAAGACATACCATTTAAAAGCAGACAACACTAGCTAGATCCCCTATAATGTGTCATTCATAGTGTGCTAGACATATGGAAAATTCAAGAAAATGAAACT